GTGTCCTGAAAGCTCTGGAAAGTGTCCTGGAGCGTGGCAAAGGAGTCAGCATGATTGACCATATCCACACGATAACCAAGCTCATTGAGGTTTCTCGGGAGTTCAAGATGCGGCTGTTCTGTGTAATTCTTCTTGATTTAAAGAAGGCCTTTGATTCTGTTGAGACTGAAGTGGTCATCAAAGCCCTAGCCAGAAAGGGCGTTCAAATTCAATACAGCAGGATCCTCTGTGAGCTGTATTACAGATTCACCACCAGGATCTTACTATTCTACAAGGAAGTGATCATTGATGTCAAGAGAGGAGTTCGGCAGGGTGATACCATTTCACCGAAACTCTTCAGTGCCACCCTCGAGAATGTCATGCGACGACTAGAATGGGAAGGAATGGGATGAAGATAGACGGTCATCAACTACACCACCTCTGCTTCGCTGATGACATCATTCTAATAACACCAAACATTAGCCAAGTAGCACAAATGCTGGCCGTCTTCAACCGTGAGTGTGGAACGGTCGGACTAGACCTGAATCTCACGAAGACAGTTTATGAGAAACGGTCTCATTCCTGACGTTCCATTTGCTCTCAACGGAACAAACATGTCCGAACGCAACAGTTATGTGTACCTAGGTCGAGAAGTCCACATGACAAATGACCTCCACAGGAGAAAGAGAGCAGTGTGGGAACGCCTTCAAGAGCATAGAAGAAATATCTAAGAGGATGAAGAATCTCTGGCTCTGGGCATATCTCTTCGATTCCACTGTTCTTCCTGCATTAACATATGCCTCAGAGACCCAGGTTTCCCTACGAAAACAGGATGAGAATGCTATTTGGGTCTCCCAAAGAGGAATCGAAGGAGCTATGCTTGGAGCATCACTCTTCACTCAAATGAGAGAAAGATTCTGAAGTTCCAACCTCCTTCGACAGTCAAGAATTAGGGACACTGTCTCATTTGCCAAGGCATTGAATATCAGATGGGCTGGATACGTTATGAGATTTGGAGACGACCGCTGGACTAGAGTAGTTACTGACTGGATTCCACGAGACGTCAAAAGATTGCGTGGCCTCCTACCTACAAGATGGTCAGACTTCTTTGTCAAGACCCTGAACGATCGGGTTTGAGGCTCTTTGTGTTCCTAGAATGAGCAGACACCACTGGACTACACCACCATGTGACAGGGATGAATGGAGATATTACTGGCGCCCGCTTGAACAAATCGATGAGTAATGGGATGTCAAGAGATCAAGTGTTTTGTTTTGGGTTATTATTATTACTATTTTTTGGTTTGTTTTTAGACCATACCCGACTGTGCTTACTCCTGGCTCAGCAATCAGGGATTAATCTTAGCAGGCTTGGGGATCATACGGGATGCTGGGGATTGAATTTGGGTAGGCAGCATGCAAGGCAAATCCCTCCCTGCTGTACTATCATGCTATCCCTTATTATTCTGCTTTGCATCACCATGATTTAGTTTTGCTTTCTGTGGATGAGATTTAAAAGCTGAATGAGATCAAGGATGTGAATGTAGACAGAAGATGTCTCTGCACTGTGCATTGGGAAAAATGCCAAGAGTTGAGGGGAAATGAGAAATTGACAGGGAACCTGATAGGTAGGATGAGAATCAGGCAGAGTGGAGTAATAGAAATATAAGGCATTCAAGGAGGTGACACGCAGGGCCAGAGTCGATTTGCTCGAGCGGGCCCAGTAACGTCTCCATTGTGAGACTTCTTGTTCTGTGTTTGGCATGTTGAATATGTCACGGGTAGCTTGCCAGGCTTTGCCGTGTGGGTGAGATACTCTCGGTAGCTTGCCGGGCTCTCCGAGGGGCAGAGGAATCGAACCCGGGTCGGCCAGGTCGGCCACGTGCAAGGCCAACGCCCTACCCGTTGTGCTAATGCTCCAGCCCATATCAAAGGTATATATACATACATGTATATACATGTATATATGTATGTATACCTTTGGTATTCATATTGATAGCACAGCAGATAGGGCATTGGCCTTGCACGCGGCCAACCTGGCTGACCAGTGTTCGATTCCTCTGCCCCTCTTGGAGAGCCCGGCAAGTTATTGAGAGTTTCTCGCCTGCACGGCAAAGCCTTGCAAGCTACTCATGACGTATTTGATATACCAAACACAGTAACAAATGCCCTACCCACTGTGCTATCTATCACTCCAGCCCCCAAAAGCCAGAGTTTTAAAAATAGAAGGATATTTTTTTCTTTTTTCCATCTTATCTGTGGCCATTTATTTGATAATTTTGCCCAGCTAGTTTGTTGAAACAAAGTTGATTTGGGTGACGGTTGTAACTCCTGGGAATATATCCCAGAGAGGCAAAAAAGTATAGTCAAAGTGACGTCTGCACTTGTTTGTTCATTGCAGCACTCTTTACAATAGCCAGAATCTGGAAAAAATCTGAGTGCCCGAGAACAGATGACTGGTTAAAGAAACTTTGGTACATCTACACAATGGAGTACTATGTAGCTGTTAGAAAAGATGAAGTCATGAAATTTACATACAAGTGGTTCTACATGGAAAGTATCGTGCTAAGCGAATTGAGTCAGAAAGAGAGGAACAGACCTAGAAAGATTGCATTCATCTGGGGATCATAAAGTAACAAAATAGGAGACTAACACCCAAGAATAGCCGAGATAAGTACCAGGAGGTTTACTCCGTGGCTTGGAGGCCAGCCGCACATGCTAGGGAACAAGGCAGCTCAGATAGAGAAGGGAGCACCAAATAAAGGGTATTGGGAGGACCCTCCCAGGATGGGAGATGCGTGCTGAGAGTAGACTATAGACCGAACATGATTGCCACTCTGTGCCTCTTTTGCAAACAACAGCACCCAAAAGGAGAGCGAGAACAAAAGGGAATGCCCAGCCACAGTTGCGGGGTGGGATGGGGGGCTTGGGGGTGGGTGATAGGGATACTGGGATCATTGGTGGTGGAGAATGGGCACTGGTGGAGGGATGGGTATTCAATCATTGTATAACTGAAACCCAAGCACAAAAATTTGTAAGTCTACAACTGTACCTCATGGTGTTTCACTAATAAAAATTTTAAAAAAATCACAGTACCTCAGTAAAAGCAAAATAAATAAATAAATAAATAAATAGATAAATAAAAAATAGTTGGAAGAGACTGCCGTATTTCAGGGCTGGAGTATGAGCTTTGTGCCCTGGAGTCCCTGGTTTCCATCATCTGTGCCACATGGCCCTCTAAGCTCTGCCGGAGTAGCCCTCCATCACAACCCAAAATCAGCAAAAATCATAATCAAATGAATTTAGAGAATTAAATGGTCTTTGAGAAGATCTAGGCCTATTTTGATTCACTAATGAATAAGAGTTGTGGGTTGTGATTTAATAATCCTAATTCCTTCAATCCTCATTTTGTTCATTAGCAGATCTGCTCTGTTCATTAGTGCCTAGTGGTTAAGAGCCTTAACCGGGTTCAGATTTTTCTGTTTGAGTTTTTGGCCATACCTGGCAGGTGCTCGGGAACTACTTCTTTCTTAGCACTCAGAAGTCACACGCTGTGGTGTTCAGGGAACCGTATGGTGCCAAGGATATGTGTTCCATTGAACCCTGTAACATTGGGAATACGTGTTCCAGCCTGTGGAGCTCACTCCTGAGCATTTTCTTTGGCCCTGAGGTGCAGATCTTATTTCTTGTGGCCTGTAGAGGTGCTTGGGGGTATTTGGTGCAATTGAATTGAGGGTATTGCACTGGTGAGGCTATGCTCTACCTCTTCAGCTATTTCTGGCCCCCTCATCAAAATACTCTAAGCAACGAAGTTGAACTGTTGCTGCCTTCTGCAGCATAAGTTTGTTATGAAGATTAAGTGGACACTTTGACTTGCTCATGAAATTTTAGCTTCTGTTATAATAAATATTGTTTTCGATTTTTCCTCCTCCTCATCTTTGTCGTCCAGATTTTGTGTACAGTATCATTGAAAACTGTGAGATGGTTAAGAAGTGAACCATAACCTTGAAAAACTAGAATTCTGAAATGATATGATGCTAGAGCCAGGCAAGAGCTCCAAACTTGTGTGGTTTGGCAGAGCTGGTGAATTGGCCAGGTTTTTTTTTTTTTTTTTTTTTGCTTTGCTTTGTGGGTCACACCTGGAGATGCATAGGAGTTACTCATTCAGGGGCTCCGCATTCAGGAATTACTCTTGGCAGTGCTCAGGGAACTGTATGGGATGCTGGGAATCAGACCTGGGTCGGCTGCATGCAAGGCAAACGCCCTACACACTGTGCTATTGCTCCAGCTCCGAATTGTCCAGTCTTAAGCAGTCTGTCTGTGCGTGCACCTCTCACGTACTATTCTCTCAGTTGTCTGACTCTGCCTCCTTCTTATTTATTTTAAAATTTTTCATTTATTTATTTGTTTTGTTTTTGGACCACACAGCCAGCAGTGTTCCTCTCGCTGCTCTTTGGAATTAACTCCTGGCAGTCGGGATACCATATGGGATGCCAGGGTTTGAACCCAAGGCACCCTTATGTAAAGCAAGCGCCCCGCCTGCTGTAATATCTCTAGCCCTTCTGCCCCCTTTAAACCTTCAAAATTGATGATTCTGACCTACATATTTTTCACTTTTTACCTTTTTTGATAAACAGTAAAATATATGTGAACCTTTTAAAACACATCAGGCCTGAGCATGTCCCAGTCTTGAATATACTCCCCCTTAAGTTTCCAAGGAAAATTAAACAAAAATTTTGGGGGACCAACTAGCAGTGATCAAAGATTACTCCTGGTAATGTTTGCAGGTACCCTATGGTGTTTGCTGTGTGCAAGGCAAGTACCAAGGAAGACATTTTAAAGATGGTGGACAGGCGGTCTCTCTCTCTCTCTACCTCTCTCTTTCTCTCTCTTTCTTGCCCTCCCTCCCTCCCTCCCTCCCTCCTTCCCTCCCTCCCTCTCTTTCTTTTTCTCTTTCTCTCTCTCTCTCTCTCTCCCTCCCTGTGTAATCACAAAGATGTTTTTGTCTTCCTCTTGTATCATAGCCCAGGAATTAAAGTCACTGTTTGAAAAAAAGTCCCTCAAAGAGAAACCTCCAATTTCTGGAAAGCAGTCAATGTTATCTGCACGCCTGGAACAGTGCCCTCTGCAGCTGAATAACCCCTTTAATGAATATTCCAAATTTGATGGCAAGGTGAGTGAGACAGAAACTTTGTCCTTCTAAGTACAACCTTCATTGAGTGGTTTTGTTGTTGGCATTATTAGATTTGAAGTTACAAAAGTGATTCAGTAATTACAGAATTATCATACATATTTTCTAAGACTATAGATAATAAAAACATGAATTTGGGCTTAATGTTGCTTTCATAGTTTTATGTTTGGTAGGACTTAAATAAAAACAGTCTGTATGGATGTGTATTTTCCCATTTCATCTCCTAAAGTATATTTGAGGGTTGGAGTTTGTGAGCCTTTAGGATACTCCAAGGGGGCTACAGGTGAAAATTGCATGAATGGGGACAAAGCACAGGGCCAGGGATTGACCTGAGAGCTGAGGAGCCATAGGGAGGAGACAAGTTTGGAAGGGCGCCATGGTCAGAAGAGGTTGTGAAACTCACAGGTTCTGATGAATCAAGATCCGATTGTGCAGGAGAACCCTTGAAGGTGGATCTGGCAGGCAGCGTGCATTGTCCAGTCTATTTTAACAGCAGAAACTATACAGGGTAGATTTCATTTCAGAATTCTAGACCATTGCTCTGCACTTCTAATTGTAGGCAATCTGTTTCGCACTTTCTATGTAGAATGGCTCCCCCCAACCCCCATTATTTGTAATTTTAAAAATTAAAGTGCGCTTAATTTCCTTTTAGAAAAATGCCCCTATCTTAGATGGAGACTGGTTCCCGGTGCAGCACCCTCGTTCCCTCTGTTCCCTGCCATTCTGTGTCTCTGTGTTGAGCAGGACCATTCCTGAGAGACATCAGCGTTGATTTTGATAGTTTTTGTCTTTATGTTGACTGTCTGGCAGTGGTGAGGGGGTGCTGATGGATAGCTTGTTGCCTGGAGGGCTTGAGTACGATTCGACTTATTTTAACATCATTGCAATTAATAAGCATACATTTGCTGATGTTTGCATTTTCTATATTCAAGTTCTGATAATGTGCTGGTTCTGTCAGCCGTCATCTTGAGCAAGGAGATGTTTTTCTCTTTTATCTCATGCAGTAGGTTTAAGAAGTTTATAGGGCATGTAAGGTTACTAATGTTTGTGGGGAAAGGAGAGCCAGAGCTAGAAACAAATGCAAAGGTAACAGAGAAACAAGCGCAATTCAGTAGGCTCAGGAGTTTCCTCCAAATAAAATACCTGGATGTACTTTAAGTAACTTAGAGATTGTACCGATGTAAAGCTTCTCATTAGCCTGCCCCTGCCTCATTTTTCTGCTCTGTGGACTGTAACAGAGAAGGGTTTTCCGTCGGAACTGGAATATCAGCCTCTAGGAGATGACTAGTTGAACTGTAGTAAATGATATTGTAGGTACAATAGTTGTGATTCCTTCAGATATGTGAAAATTTATTACTGGAATTGGCTACACGGCCAGAGCTTATTGCTTCCATTGCCTGATACCATGCCATTGTTAGAGAATATAATTGCTGGAATAATTACTATGTGATAGTACCAACAAAATAGCACAGCTCTTTAAGATATTCTAGATTTTTCCTTAAACCAGAAGATTCTATTATAAAATTTTTAGGCTTGGATATGTCAGAAGATTGTGAATTCTGCTGGATCTACATCTAATTTCTGAAATGTTAGGAAGAATTTAAAAAACTGTATAAATCTGTTTTCTTATTTCCAAAGGATTTTTCAGATGTGTATTTTCTCTTAAGATACTCGATGCTTTGGTCTATTAAAAGTCTGTTTGTAAACAGTAAGGAATATGAGCCTGGTGCAGTCACTAGTATACATTGATTAAGAAAGATTTTTACATATTGATAAGTCTATCTTGTGATATGATGCTATTTTATTATTACCCTACATATTATAGTTGCTAAAATACAATTAAACCCTTGTTCTCATCTTTTATTTAATATTGATGCATTTGGCAGAGATGTAATGAAAGTGGCTAATATTTGAAGGATATTGTACTATACATATTAAATTAGTCTTTCTTTATCTTTGTGAAATGCATCAATATGATATTCAATGACACCTCAATGATTAATAGAGAATTATACTCGAGTCAAGCCTTTTTGTAACCTAGAAATTAAAATGACTATTCAAATAACACCTCAAAATGATCAAATTAGCATTTTGTGATTGCATAATAATGGGATTGTGGTAGTTACAGCAGCACCATGGCCGCCTCTAGAGTTAAGATCACGTCAACCCCTTGATAATAAAGCCTTTTCTGCGAGTCGACTTTAATCATTTCCAGATTGATTCTTCTCATAAATCATTTGACATGCAGCACTAAATTTTTGTTACTGTTGTAACTTAAAATTATTTTATTTTTATTCAGCTCATATTTAAGAACTGAAATGAGTGGCCTGTTTTAGTGATTCACCATCTTGTCACTGAATTCCATGGTTTTTGATTCAAATGTAAGGGTTTTCTATGATTTTTTCATAGTTCTTTTTTTTTTTTAACAAAGGTTTGTTAGAGCCTCTAAAATATGAACAGTTTTCTTCCCTACAAATATTCACAATGCTTTTCTTGGGAATAAGCTTGCCTTATTTACATAATTAACTGAGATGCTTAGGTCTCTGGGGCAGGAGGGGACAGAGAAGAGTTTGGGGTCTAATTAAATATGCTAAAAAACTACTTAATTATGTATTTCCTCAAGAGACTACTTCGATATTCTCCTTAAGATTTAGCTAGTATTAGTTTGAAAAAAATTTGGTTTGGGTATAGCTTTAAATTTTCTTTTATCATCAAACTATGAGGTCTTGTGTCATACTTTGTGCAAACTGGAGAATTGCTGGTTTAAGTGATTCTAGAGCTAATGATCTCTTAGCAGTTGTGCTAAATTAAATTCTTTGAAATAAAGTTTTATTCCAATAGCCCGTGAATTCATTAAAAAGAATTGTGATGGGGCCAAGTGCTTAGTAGGATGAAGTGTCTGTTTACACGCAGGAGCCCTAGTTTGATCACTACACCTAGAGGTCTCCTGAGCACTGCCACGCTTGATTCCCAAGCTTTGAGCTGGTTCTTCACCCTAGAGCGCCACTGGGCATGGTCCCTACTCAAGGAAAAAAAAACAGACAAAAATTATGATTGGTTACTAATTTCTTGAATGTACGCAACTGAAAGGGAAAGACTGATATCTGGATATCTTGGATATCTGCTTTGTTGTAATTTTGACAGTTTTTATGATCAGATTTGTTATGTCATTTCTTTAGCAGATTGATAGAGCTGTCTGACCTTTTTTAGACTAGTAGATCATTAGCAACTCCATTTCTGATTGTTAGAGAAACAATCGAAGATAAATTGAATGTGGTTTTATGTGTATTTTGGTGGACATGACAAAATCCAGCTCAGCCTCCACTTGAACTCTTTGATCTTGCTGAAAGTGGCCCCTCTAAACAGCTTCATTAATGATGCCAAGTCTCTGATCGAGGTTGAGAGGACCAGAAAACGTCTTGTGCCCGCCTTCCTGATTTCATTCGGTAGGGAGATCATTGGATAGTGACGGGAATTGCTCTGCAGTGATGAGGTAGTGTGCTGTACAGACAGGCAGTAAACACAGCACTGACTTCGCACATGGGAAATAGGTGGGGTTTCTGCCCTGTCATTCCCACTCGCTTTGACATGATCTTGTGTACAAATAGGCATCTTTTTCTAGTCTATGCCGTCTCACTTAGCCAAAGAACCTTTTCTCCATGTCATCACCATTCTGCTTAAACTGGATTGCACACACTCTTGTCCTAGTAGACCTTTGGAAGCCCAAGCACCCATTCATTTCCTACTGTTGCAGACACTGACAAATGGAACTGATTGCTGTTTTGTCACCTAAGTTAGGTTTTTCACCTCTCTGGGCCTCGTTCCTTATCCAGGAAAAGAAATGGTACTTGTTTCTTTCCAAGGCTGTTAAGACCATAAGAGTAAGATGAGCAGAAAGCACGACTCAGGAAAGAGGTGTGTAATTTATTTTGTAAACACACCTGTTTTATATGCCAGCAGAGTTTGAATCCTGAGTCCACCACTTAGGGTGCGATCTCAGACTGAAATGTAGAATTCTTGTGATGATATTTCTTCCTCATGAGAATTAATTAGAAAAAGACCTGAGATTAGCAAGACTTGTAGAAGTACCTAGAAAGTACCCAAAAAGCCCCACTCTCCCTGTGTAGGTGCAGACCAGTGAGCTTTGTTAGATTATTGACAGGGCCAAGTGAGAGTGTGCACTTCAAACCAGGAGTTAGGGATTAACAGGCCCGGGGGCCCTGGGGAAATGCCTGACTTTGCAAGTCCCTGCGTTTTGCTCCTTGTACCACTGACAAAGCAACAAACTGTTGAATGGGGTGTTGTCCTTTAACTTTTAATTTTCCCATTGGAAGGTTCATGGTCACGGTCACAGTCCTCCTGTTGTTCATCGATTTGCTCGAGAGGGCCCAGTAACATCTCCATTGTGAGACTTGTTACTTGTTTGGCATATTGAATACATCACGAGTAGCTTGCCAGGCTTTGCTGGGCGGGCGAGATACTCTCGGTAGCTTGCCGGGCTCTCCGAGAGGGGCGGAGGAATTGAACCTGGCTCGGCCGGGCTGGCTGCGTGCAAGGCAAATGCCCTACCGCTGTGCTATTGCTACAGCCCAAATGGGAAGGCTACAGTAAATAATTACATCTTACTATCTGGGTTCTTTTTGGTGTTGGGGATTGAACCCAGGCCATTCACTCTGTCTCTTACCTATGGGGCGTTTTCTCCTAGTCTTAGTCTATTTGATCACCTCACCAGCCTTGTGAGGAAACAAGTACCATTTTTTTTCATAGATAAGGGAAGAGGTACAGCCTCAAACCCTACTTCCTTTGAGGGTTGGACGGAGAGCAATGGTTATTTTTTTCCTTCATCTGAAAAGAAGGTAGTTTGGCGTTAGCAATTACTCGCCACTTATTTTGATAAAATGTTAAACATCTTACTTATGTGACTTACTAAATTCTACTCTACATATATGAAGAAATTGTTTGCCTTGACAAGTGCTTAAAAA